CTGTCTGCCTATCTGCCTGCCTGTCTGTCTGCCTGTCTGCCTGCCTGCCTGCCGGCCCTGAACTCTGCCTTCTGTTGCCTACGTGTCTCTCACCTCTGCCTGGTCGATCAGCTGGTGCCTCCCTGACGTGGCCTGGTTTCTCGTTCTACGACTCGAGTCCAGGACCCTATTCTCTGGGGACGCTGCCATCCCCACCTCGCTGGCATCCTCCTCGAGTCCTGTCTGGTGACAGTGCGTTAATCCACACACGCCCAACCTCCGCCCACCCCACCCTGCCCTGCTGCAGCTGGGGGACCAGGCCTCCCCAACAGGGGCCTTCAGGGACACCCAGACCACTCCTCGGCGACCGTCCCCACTGGCTTGTCCCCGCCCTGGGCCGCCTGCCTGCTGAGACGGAGCGTCTCTGCGCCCACACCACCCACCACTGGTCACCGCTGTCTCTGTGTGTGCGGCCCGAGCGGGCCAGCCTCTGCCGGGCCCCTGCGAGGCCAGCGGGAGGGGACCCTGGGCAGACAGTGCTGCTGTGACACCACAGACAGACGCTCTGTTAATTCCCCCTGGACGGCGTCCCCAGACTCACCCTGCCCCACACTTTGTGGGAAACCACTGTGCTCGCTTTCCCAGTGACAGTGGCAGACGGCCACGTGTGTGTGTGGCTGGAAGGGCAGAGGTTATCTGCTCACACCTCGTTCTGTCTCTGCCAGAGGCTGCCTGCAAAGGGTCCTGGGTGGCGGCTGCTTTGCTGGGCTCCCCCTTGTCTTCTGAGGGCCTGCTGTCCCGTCCCTCCCATTCCCCTGCTTGTTATAGCACTGGAGCCTGAAGCTAGCGCCTCACACTGAGCTGCTATGTCCTTGATCCTTTTCTTATTTTTTTCTTTAAAACAAGGTCTCACTAAGTGGCTGAGGCTGTACTTCAACTACTGATCCTCCTGCCTCAGCCTCCTGAAGTACTGGGATTACTGCTGAGCCCACCCTGTTCCCTCTCAAATCTCTGGTCCAGCCCTGCTCCCCTGTAACGGAAGCTGAAGGACCTGAAATCCTTGCCTTGCACAGGCTAAGCGGTTCCTCCTCCAGGGCCTTGGAAACCCCAGCAGGGCTGTGGGCAAGGCACGCGGAGCTCCACTCGAGGCTCACAGCCTGCTTAGACTGCCCCCCACCAGGCGGGACGAGCTCCACGAACTAACGTCTGCGTCTAAAAATTGTGACCCAGTAGAAGACGCTGCCACGAATCCCTCTAAATCCTCCCTGGCTCCGCACACACTTGTCCACGTCCCGGCCACGTCCTGCAGCAGCTCTGGCGTCCTCTCTCCTGAGTCTTCCGTGCTGTCCTGGCTGCCTTGCTGTCCAGCGTGGATTGAAAATGTTTCTCCTTCGTGGTCATTTTGAGTCTGGTGGAGATCCTGTTGCAGGTGCCAAGCTGGTGAAGAAGCGGGTGGGACACAGGTCACACTAGGAGCTGCCTTTCCACAGGATGGCGCTCGGTACCTGGCAGCAGCAGTGGTATTTTTTTTGTAAGGACCCTCAGGAAGGGCACTTCTGAGCTGTGTGCAGCACCAGGGTCTGATGATACATTTTTTCAAGGGGACCCAGCAGAGGGCGCCCCCCCAGTGCGACGTGCAGAATGGGATCCTGGGCCTCAGCGCTGTGGCTGCAGCCTGCAGAGCATGCAGAGCCTTGTGGTTCGGTTGTTCACGGCCCCGCCGGCTGGGGTGGCAGGGAGGGGGGTGGGGCCTGGGGCGGCGCCCAAGCCCCTGGGCAGCCCTTGGAGGGCCCCTGCGTGGGGTCCCGGGTCTGTCCCCACCTGGCCCTCGGCCTCCTGCGTGGGGCTGCGGGCTTTTCCTCCCGTGCATTCCACACTGCTGGGACTTCCGGCTCCAAAACCAGGAGAGAAGGAAGCGCTTTTCCTCCTGCGCAGCTGGCCTCAGCTGTCTTGTTCGGCAAGGAGGAGGCCTGCACAGACCCAGCCTGCAAATCGCGGCCGAGTGCAGAGAAGCACACAGACGCTCAGGCGGGAGACGGAGGCAGCATTTTAATACACACACCCCAAGGACAGCGCAGAGCCCACTCCCTCCGTGTGGCCCAGCGTCACCAGGGTCCCCGGAAACCGGACCCCCGCCCCGCTGCACCTGGCAAACCTCAGGGGTTCAGAAACACAGCGAGGACGCAGGTTGGCCTGCGACGTTTGCTGACGGCTGCTCCCGCTCTCGGTGCTCTGAGACCCAGAGGGACCCACGGAGGCGGGTGTAGCCTGTTACTCCTCCCACTCTCCGCTGGTGAGCATGCGGACACCGCCGCTGCCCCCGCTTGGAGCCCTGGCGTCTCGGGGAGCCCCAACAGCGTAACCAGCACTGCGGCCCTTCCTGAAGGCAGCCTTTGGCATGACACAGGAGACCGGCGGCTCCCTGCAGCCTCCTGTGTGGCGCCCAGGTGCCCGGGCGAGCAGACTGGCACCCGGCCCTGAGCACCCCGCCCCTGAGAATCCAGGGCTCCAATGCGGGGCTCCACTGTGGTGTCTCCCTGTGTGTGTAGGGGGTGTTTTTTGCACAAGAGGCTTTAGGAAAGCGCACGTCTGTAGGCGGCCTGGTGCAAGCCCTGATCCGGGCAGTGCTCAGGGCCGGCAGGAGCTGGGTGGGAAGAAGGGCTACAGACTGGGAGTCCCGGACTCATGGGAGACGCAGGAGAGCACCCCGCCGGCCATCCCACTACCCCTGCTGCACCCCGCTCCCCCTCCCCGGCCCCCACACGGACAGTCTCCCAGCTGAGGAGAAGCCACAGTCGCTGAAGGACAATGACCCCTCCCGGGAGGAAGCTCGCTGCCAGCATCTGCCTCCTTCACGGCTGGGGACGCTGGCATCACCAGCTTCTGCCAGGGTCTGTGCGTCCTCAGAGAGGGCGTCCTGGTTGGACCTGACTTCCCTGCTGCACGGGAGCCGGGGACTGGGAAATGGTCAGGACTCACTCCTGGCCGTGACCCCATGGGCTCCTCCTTATCTGTGCGTAAGAGCTCCTTCAGCCCCAGCCACGCTTCCCCAGCCCTGTCCTTGAGGGGACACCCCAGGGTCCCCACGGTGCCCCGAAGTCCGCTCAGACTCTCCCAGGCCTCTTGCACGGGGCGTGTCTGTGCACTTCACTGGACAGTGCACCGACCGCTTCCCCTGGCTGGGCCCGGGCGGGCGCCCTGGGCCCAAGGGTGGAGCGGGAGCCCGGGCAGAACTGCCGCAGGGGGTGTGACCCCAGGGGAAGCCCGGCGGCTCCATCGAAGGGACGTGGCCAGCGGACTCCTCTCGGTGGGACGCACCCCAAGAGGTGCCGGCTGTCCCAGCCTCAGTTCTGCTGCGGCCCCTCCGGCCCTGGGCGCCCGGCCTGCTCCGCGTGGGCCTGCAGGAGCCCCGCAATCTCCGTGTGGGCCGGCGACTGCAGTGCAATGGACAAAGCTGTGCGGCCGGCCTGCGGGGAAGCAAGGGGAGACGGCGTTATTCCGGCCCAGGGACAGAGGGGTCTACTGGGCGCATGGAAGCCACAGGAGACCAGGGGCTCTCTGACACCCTTGCGAGCAGCAGGTGGGGTGCCAACTGAGGTCGGAGGGCTTGGCGGTGCGCACACCAGCTTTGTCCAGACCCCACGAGAAGCCCAGCTGGGCCAGCAAGACGCGCGACACAGCCTCTCCAGCACCTCGGCTTGCTTCTGGACCCGGAGACTCTGGTCGGCGGCTGCTGACGGCCGGGCGGGGAGGAGCAGCCTGACCTGCAGTGGACCAGGGTCCCTGACAGCCGGGGGCTCTGCCTCATGGGGTCCAGCGGGGAGCTGGGGGCTTCTGAGACCAGGACAGCAGCTCCCGGAGCTAGGCCTCGGGGAGTGCTCACGTACATGCACACTGTCGCCTTCACCGTCACCCTCACCATCACCCCACAGACGCTTCTGCACGAGGCTCCTGCCCAGGCTTATTGGCGCACGCCTGTAATCTTTGCACTTGGGAGGCTGAGGCAGGAGGGTCACAGAGTTTGAGGCCAGCCTGGGCTACGAAGTGAATTCAAGGCCAGCCTGGACTACATATCGAGATCCAAAAAGACAAAATCAACCGAAGAGGCCTCTGTCAATCAGGCTGGCACAGTGGACCGGGCTGCCCACAGTCACCACGCGTGACCCGTCTCCGCCCACGCCAGCCCCGCCGCCCGCCGCCCGCCGCCGCCTCACCTTGTCGGCCAGGCTGCTGTCGCAGGACGGCTGGGCCAGGAGCAGCCGCACCAGGTCTGCGTTGCCGTGGCGACAGGCCAGCATGAGGGCTGTGGCGCCCTCGTGGTCCTGCAGGTTGACGTCCGCCTGGCAGCACAGCAGCGCGCGCACCATGTCCCCGCGGTCGTGGCTGACGCCCAGCATGAGCGCCGTCTGGCCTCCCTGCGGCGACCACAGGGACGTGAGCCGGCCCTGCGGCCTGCGACAGCGGTCAGAAGCAAAACGTCCCCATTCCCGGGCCCTGCACGCACCGCCTGCACTGCCACCAGGGCCCGCTCTCGCGGACAGGGCCGGCCTTGCTGTCTCCACCTCCCAAACCTGGTGCCAGCAGTGAGGGGACACAGGGGTGTCGAGGGCTCCGCCAGGCCTCCCCACACCCGCCTGCCTCAGGGCACGGCAAGGCCGCTGGGCCCGCACCATCCACAGCCCACGGCCGCACAGGACTGGACCCCCTCCCCCCTCCCTCCTCCCTCCTTCCCCTCCTTCCTTCCTCCCTCCTTTCTTTCCCTCTCTCCCTCCGCTCTTGCTCTCATTTTTAATTTTAAGGCAAGCTCTTGCTAAGTCCCGAATTGCCCAGCATGCCCTTGAACTTGCAATCCTCGTGCCCCAGCCTCCCAGAGTGCTGGGGCTACGCCTCTCTGCGGAGGCCCAGGGAGCAGAGGGTCAGCCGCAGCCCTGAGGTCCTCAGCGGCCCTTGGTGGCCTGGGGTGAGTCCCTCAGCCTCCTGTTTCCGCTCTGAGAAAAGAGGGTGCCAGTGACGGGGTGAGCACCCCTCGGGCCACGTGGGAAGAGCAGCGTGTCTGTGCGGATGTGAGGTACGGGGACAGCTGCGGACCGGAGCTGCGGCTGGGAGACTGGAACGAGCGGCCTGTGGTGCCCGTGTGCTGCCCCCTGGTGGCCGCAGGGGGCTCTGCATCGGCTCAGGCTACTCTTGTCTCTTTCCGGGTGCGTGGAGCGGAGGGGCTGGCAGGTGCTCAGACTTTGCTTCCACGGGCGTCTCGCCTCTGTGTACACCGGGGAGCCCGGCACGGTCGGCCCTTCGTTCTAGGCCATCTCAAAGATGTCCGTAAAGTGGACAGCAGCCAGGGGGTACTGCATGTCCTCTGAGACAGGGTCAGGCCGGCTTACGCTTCCCGAGCTGGGGCCCCCTCCTCCAGCGCACAGTCTGAGTAAGTGTCCCCCAAAGGCCGGTTCAGCAGCCACTGTGGACCCCGTAAGAGGCGGACCCTGGCAGGGGGAAGTAGTCATGGGCGCAGCCTTGCAGGGCTGTGGAGCTCGGCCCTGTCCTCTCTCCGCTCCCTGCCCCCAGGAGGTGAGCAGCGCTGTGGGCTGTGCATTCCCGCCGCACGCCCAAGGCAGCGGCACCAAGCTGTCCTGCACTGAGCCTCTGGAACCCTGAGCCACAGTAAACCTGCTGCGCTTGACCCAGGCTGTACTGCTCTTCCCTGAGCTCCCCTGTCAAAGTCAGAGTTTGACGCTAACGTAGCACCCCACCCTGCTCAGGTGACCCTCTCGTTCCGCCCTGTGAGCTGGGCGCTGGGCTGCTGCTTCTGCAGCGGGTGATACGTGGTGCGGTCAAAAACTACAGTGAATTTAGAAGAAAGACACTTCCCCCTGATCAGCAGAGGCTCTGGCGTCCTTCCTGAGTGTCTTCGGCTGCACTGTCCTAATGGCCTGAGTTGACTGGAGCTGTCCACCTTTCCCAGTCACTTTCACTTTGGGGAGGGGCGGGAGTCCCACAGTGCCCGTCCCGCGAGTGAGCTGCCTTTCTGCTGGACGGCACTAGGTGGCAGCCATCACCGTATTTTTTACCACACTTTGTAAAGACACTCAGGAAAGAGGACTCCAGAGCCGCTGCCGACAGTGCTTAGAACATGGGATAAGTGTGTTCAACGCAAGAGGGAGGATTGTTGAGGGAGGTTAAAGGCAATGTGCCCTTTACTGTGATTATTTTACATTTTAAATTTAAACATTCACCGTGTTCTTGATCACCCACATGAACTACCCTTCATCTGTGGTATGGAGGGCTCCAGGCCCTGCCAGAACCTGGGAGGGACGCCGCTGACCCCTGCAGGTGAGACCTCAGGCCCGGTCCAGCTCGAGTCACATGGCGTCTGCAGTCACCCCAGGTACACGGCCCCTGTGTCCTGTGCGTCACGGATGGGAAAGGGGCCTTCGGAGGCCGTTTCAGGGACTGGCAAGGGCCGCACCCCTGCACCCCGTTCCCAGGTGGAGGAGCCCGAGGCCGAGGGACCCACCCTCTGGCGGCCTGCGCACCTCTGCTGTGTGGGAGACCTCAGCCCTCTCGCCCAGTGGGTGCGGGCCGAGCTCCCAGTGACCCGTGCAGGGCAGTGTGAGCTGTGCCGGGCTGTCGGGCTACGTCGGAGGAGCCCGAGTCCTGACCCCACAGTCAGGAAAGCTGGCAGTGATCTGGGGTTTGCAAGAGGAAGCGGGGCGACAGTGCCTTGTGGGCCTCTGCCCTGGGGCACAGGTGACAGCAACTGCGGGCCCTCCCGGCCTGATTCCTGTCTACACTGCCGGAGCTCGGGCGGCAGGCGTCCTCCTAGTCTGGCCCAGGGCACAGCTCCTGGAACCAGGACGCAGTCCACATGCCCAGGACACTGTCGCCCTCCCTGGCCAGCAGAGAGCCAGGGTTTGAAGCATTTGAGACCCGGTTGTTTCAGGCACTGAGAGACAGCCGGGCAGACGCACCCTTGCCAACAGGACCCTGCAGTGGCTCTCTGGGGAAACTGAGTCTGGGGAAGGGGGCTCCTCAGCCCCTAAGAGCCGGCCCTTCGGTGCCCAGATCCTCTCCATCGGGCTGGGGCCTCTGGGGAATGAGGACGACAGTGAGGCCGTCATCGAGGGCCTGAGGGAGCCTGGCCTGCTCAGGGGCCCCCGTCAAGGGTGAGGTCACCCGGGTGCTGCTAGCACAGCCGAGCTTGTGGCCTTCTCAGGAGGCGATGTGTGAATCAGGGCAGGGGGTGAGGTCAGCTGGACTTGCTGTCAGCCTGGGACAGGAGGCAGCTGCTTGCAAACCCTACCCCGGCCCGCGGGTCTCCGCGCCTTCCAGGAAGAACAGGCTTTTGGGCTTTGGCTGCCGCAGGACGGGCTGACTCCCAGGGTGGAGAGACCCAGGGCCACACGGAGCTCCCGCCTGGGCCCCACCCGCTCAGGGGCGATTGCGGCCGCCCACCCACCTGTGTGGCCTGGATGTTCACATCCCCTTCCCGGAGGAGCTGCCGGACCACGGCCATGTCCTCGGCGGTCTCCGCGGAAGCCAGGGGCGTGATCATCACGGCAGTGTAGCCCGCTTTGTTCTGGCGGTCCACGGCGCAGACGCCTGAGGAAGGAGCGGGTCAGCTGCGGCCAGGGCAGCAGGACGCCGCCGCTGCCGCTGTATTTCTCGTATTGAAACAGGGAATGAAAAACAAGCCTACATTTAAAGATGATGTAAAACTTACATCAACAATGAGAATTAAAAAAAAACCCAACAAACAGGTCTTTAATCCTAGCACCTGGGAGGCTGAGGCAGGAGGATCACCATGAGTTCAAGGCCAGCCTGGGCTTCATAGGCAGACCTTGTCTCAAAAACAGAAACCTCCAAAATCCCCTCAAAATTCCGGACCCAGGCTCTACAGCCCTCACCACAAGAGAGGTCGGGTCACACACAGCCCGGTGTCTGGTGTGTTAGGTGAAGCCACCACCCGGGCAGCGTGGTGTGGAAACCGCCCAGGCGTCCCGTGGCCCTCCGTCTGCACAGCATCCTCCACAGTGCGCCTGCCCCAGGGGAGGGGAAGCACACAGCACCCCACAGGGGGCGGGGGACGCTTCCAGGGACCTTGCAGAGCAGACGTGGGGAAGCCAGGCTGGCCGGACCAGCCGCTCGCGCGCGCCCTGGTACACGGCCACTGTCACGCGGACGGTGAGCAGGAGTGGCCACCATGTCACCTTCTGGTGCCATCCTGGGGGACTGGACGTGCACCCTGCCCAGGGACAGCCGCACTTCATACCCTTTGAGCCTTTCTGTCTGCTCCCAGGCGGGCACAGGGCTGGGGGGACCGAAGAGTGAGGGGCTGGGGCAAGGCTGAGGGACAGCACCGTGCTGCGGCCTCCCAGCCACCACCCCCGCCGGGCCCTGCCCTGCGTGTCCTGATTCGGGACGAGTCCGTGGGCCTGAGCTGGAGCGGGTTCTGTGCCCACTTTCAGCAGTGACGGTGTGGCAGACCCCCGGGTTCTCCCAGGGCTGTGGTGGGTGAGCAGTGCGGCCCAGAGAGCTCCCATGCCACAGAAGGTGCCCGGATGTCAGCCGCTCCTCAGCCCACGGCAGCGAGGCCTCCAGTGCCTGGCAGGGCCGTGGGCCTCAGAAGTGGCCCGGGGTGCTCTGACGGGGGGCAAGTGCGAGAGCGCTCAGAGCCTCGGCCTTGGTTAGACCCTTCTTACGAAGACAGGAAACAGTGACCTTCCCAAGCAGCGCGACACAGCTCTGGGGTGGCACGGGCCAGCACCGAACGTGCTCTGCCGTCACCAGCACTGCGCCCAGGCGAGCTCCACAGCTCTTGGGAGGGCAGGCTTTCCTCAACCACGGGACGCCCACAAAACGAGAGCCAGTTCCTGGCACGCAGGAGGAACTCCGAACAGGGGAGGATTTCCTACTGGAGAGACCTGTGGTGTAAATGGCCCTTAGGGTAGTCCCAGCTATTTGGGAAGCTGAGGCAGGAGGACTGCTTGAACCCAGGAGCCTGGAGAACACAGCAAGACCCCACCTCTTACAGAGGAAGAGCAGCCGGAGGAGGGCGGGGAGGCGCAGACCTGTGTCGAGCAGCAGCTTGGCGACCGGGAAGTTGGCGTGGGACAGGCTGTAGTGCAGCGCCGTGTTCCCGTTGCGGTCCGCTAGGTTGACGAGCAGCTCCAGGAGCTTCGGCGAGAGCGGCTGCACCTCGAGGAGGTAGGCGGCCACCACGGCAGGGCTGGACGACTTCCGGCTGGACACGCGGAACCACTCCTGGCTGAAGGTGCTCAAGCTTCGCTCCTGAGGCCCCAGAGAGTCCAGTTCCACAGGGCCCCCAGCCTGGGCCCCTGGAGCCAGGGACGTGCCGGAGCGGGGTGCCCCCCCCCCTGCGCCCCATCAGCAGCCACCTGGGCTGCAGTGACACACGGGATGTCCGCGCCAGCCCCACGGGGGAGGCGGGGTGGGGCCCGGGCCACTGGCACGAGGGGACTGCTGACGCTCGTGGTTTAGCGCCCTGTGTGCCCAAGGACTCAGCTCACGCCCCAGGCTCCCAGCGCCCCTGCCACCCCAGGCCGGCCCGCACCTGCCTGCAGGGCAAGCTGGGCCTCGGCTGCACTGCTGAAGTGGCTGCTAACCGCCGAGCTGGACAGCGCCCCAGCTTTTGCTGGAAGTAGAGCCCAACCCGGCACCCCTCAGTCTTGGCTTTCAAGTTTGCTAGGCTCCTCAGGGTGGAAGTGTTCACAGCCCATGGCCAGGCTCCACCCGGAGCTCTGCAGAACCACGGTGAGGACAGAGGGCTTGGGGTGACGTGCCCTCAGATGGTCACCTACAGGACAGGAGCTCCTGGGGCGCGGCTGCCACACGTGCTGCCACGCCCATTCCTGAATGAGGCTGGGTGTGGGGTCAGATGGGCCCAGCCCAGCTGTGCAGCCCGAAGGTATGCACCCCTTGAGCCTTCTGTCCCCATGGTAAAGGGGCTGGCTCCCTCCTTCCCACAGCTCCGCGGCTGGGGTCCTCCTGTACACCCCACTTTTGCTGGCAAAGATGAGGTGGCAGGGCTGGGATCCCGGTGTGGACCAGGTATAGACACAGCCTCTGGTCACACTTCCAGGCGGGAACAGGGATCATTAGTGGCTGAGGCACTTTCGTATATCAGAATGTCTCCGATACCCACCATCTCCTTCATGCACGCAGTATCACCTCCTGCCCACGGGCCACCTCCGTTACCCACAGCACATCACTCTATCCACAGAATATCACGCCCACCCACGGATTATCATCTCCCCCACCCAACAGCCCCTCCTCTAGCCGAAGAGCCTAATGCTAAGGGACATGGCGGTGGGCTTCTAAATGAGGAGCAGAGACTGAAGCTGGTTCTGTGCCCTGTGCGGGCATAAGCACGGAGCTTCACTCCGCATCCGCCTGGTCTTGGTTTTCCGCCTGCGGACGATTTGCTGAGTCAGCTAAGATAAAGTAAGGAAAGTGCCTGGGTGGGTGCTACGTGGACTCCCAGTGTCCTGGGGCTCCTCGCTGAGAGCACATGGGGTTCAGGGGCCTCTGGCAGTGCCACCGTGGGTCCCTTGGGTCTCTCTGGTTAGAAGGGCAGCCTGACCCTCAGCGTCCCCATCTCCGTGGGCTCCTGAGGAGGGAAGGAGCGGGATACTTGCTGGGCTTTGGTCTCCTGGCCAAGGGTGCACTTTGTGGGCAGTGTAGGACCAGAGTCCACCTCAGGGCTCAGGGCAGTGGGCACAGGCTGCACCGCTCGCTGCGGATGGGGACACTGGCTGAGCCCGGCTCTCGGAGGGTCCTGGAGTGGAACCCACTCTGCCCAAGGCCTGGGCATCAAATAGCTGGCAACAGACCCTCTGGCTGCGCTGCCTGAGCACGGAGACCCAGGGCATCTCCCGCATGCGACCCTCTGCACCTCCTCGGTCTGCTCCGCCACCCGGACGCTGCCCCCCAGCAAGCCACCCCCGCAGCCCCGCAGCTGTCCTCATGTGGCGACCGGAAGGCACAGTACCAGGAGCGGGTCGGCGGCTGTGGCATCTGGCGGGTGTCGGCTCAGGGCCCGGCATGCGCTGAGGAACTCTTCCGAGGGTTTGCACCTGGAGAGAGGAGCACGGATACGCTTACACCGTCACTCGGGGGACGACTGGCACCTCCTCGTCACTTCTCCTCAGACACCGCCGTCCTCAGAAAGCGGGAGGGCGGCGTCCTGACAGCCGCGCCTGGCTTCAGGCCCGACCCGGGGGGCACGTGGTCGCCTCCCACCCTGCTTTGCACGGCCGGGGCAGAGGAGCCCAGTGTGCAGGAGCCCAGCGGGCAGGGACAGCAGCCAGCTGCGTTGGACATCGGCGGGGGTCGCCTTCCTCACACTGCACCCAGAGCTCACCCCACTCCGCACCGTGCGTCCCAGGTCACCCTCCAGGGGCCAGCAGACTCGGAGCCGGGCCAGGGGTCACGGGGCGGTGTGGCAGGGACAAGACGGCTCCCTGCGGTGGGGGGAGGGCCGGCGCAGGCCTGGCCACGCAGGGCTCGGTGGCCCTGACTGACAGCCAGCTGTGCTCCACACAGCCAGGCCCGGGGTGGTGACGGTGACAGTGGTCCTGAGTTGCCCACCGCCGCCTTGCAGGGCTGAGCGGCTGCTGCTTTTCCGCGTGGCCTTCCGACCCAACCCCTCGGCTGCTGTGATCCCCAGTGTTCAGAGGAGGAAGCTGAGGCGGCCACAGCTCAAGGACCTGGCCAACATGGCCCCGGCAGAGGCGGGCTGCGGGCCCTGGAGCCACCGCAACGGCAGCTTGCTGCCGCCACCACAGGACTTCCAGCGCTGAGAAGCCGGGGCTGCGTCCACGCAGCCAGTGGGACTGGCAGCAGAGCTCAGGGGGAAAAGCCAGAGGCCACGCCGCTGGCGGCACTGCTGCACCTCTACGCCTCGTCTCCACACCTGCAGAGCGGGGTGCAGGACCACTCAGGGGACCACACAGGATAACATTCACAAGGTCCTTCCATCACCAGGGTGAGCGCACACTGGCTTTGCGTGGAGAGCTCAACCCTGACAACGGTCTGTGACAGCAAGGGTCACAACTGTCCAACCTGGACAGTGGGGAGCCTGAGCAGAAACAGAAATTCTGTGGACACTGCCATGTGGCTGGGTGGGTGGACGGGTGCGTGAGCAGATGAATAAATGGATGGATGGATGGATGGATGGATGGATGGATGGATGGATAGATGAATGGATGGGTGGATAGATGAATGGATGGATGAGTGTATGGATGGGCAAATGAATGGATGGATGGATGAATGGGTGCATGGATGGATGAATGATTGGATGGGTGGGTGGATGGATAGATGAACAGATCAGTGGGATGGGTGGGTAGATGGATGGATAGGTGGATGGATGGGTGGGTGGAGAGATGAATGGGTGGATGGACAGAGGGATGGATAGGTAGATGAGTGGATGAATGAATGGGTCAATGGATGGACAGATGAATGGAAAGATGAATAGATGGATGTGGACAGCAGGAGGAATAGATGCATGGATGAATGAAGCATAGATGGGTGAGTGAGTGGATGGATGTATATAGATGGGCGGGTAGGTGGATGGATGCATGGATAGCAGGATATATAGATGGATGGATAGGTAGGTGGATGGGTAGATGAATGGATGAGTGGATGAGCAGGTGGAGGATGCATAGACGGATGAATAGATGGATGGATGGACGGGCGGGTGGGTGGACAGAAGGGTGGACATTCACCCTAACCTCCCATTCATCCTGTGGGCCTCACCTCTCAGCCTTGGAGTGGGGAGCTCCCTCCTCGGTCCCACTTTCCCGGGCTGTGCTGCAGGTGTCCTCAGGGTGGCCCTGCGAGGGGGCGTCCCCATCCTGCACGCACTCTAGGTCACTGCATTTCTTCTCAGCCTCGCTGTCAGACAGGTCCTCGGGGGAGCTGTCCTCACCACTGGTCTCCTCGCTGGAGGTGGTCTCATAGCTATGGAAGGGGACAAGGTCACAGTCTGTCCTTCCTGCCCACGGCAGCACCACTGCGCACAGGGGGCCTCAGCGAACACCCTACCTGCTCACCACACCCTCCACATCTACACCTGCAGGACGAGGCGGCACCCGGGATCCCAGGTGAGACCGAGCGGTCAGAGTTCTGCCTGTCACGCTAGAGGTCAGGCCATCGGGGAAAAGCTAACAGACGGACCACACTCCCACGTGCATTTTCAGGCCGAGTCTCAGAGCCATTTGCTTCTGGAATTCCCCCACGAGTACCCTGAAAAGCCTGAAAAGTTCTCACACACCTGTGGAGGGAAGACCTTTCCCAGCCCCCTGCCCTAGACAGCAGTGGGGAAACTTGGGGCTCCATGCAGCTCGCCAACATGGCACCTGCCATGCCTGGGGCAGCAGAAGTGAAGGCTGGGCCGCCTGACTTAGGCTCCCCCTCTGCCAGGGTCCCCAGGCTCGGCCAGAGACGCTCTGTGGGCTCACGTGAGGGTCATGGAAGATTCACTGAGCCCAACGGGGCCGCTGGCTTGGGGGCACAGCCACAGGGGCCGGAGGCATGGCTCCTCCTGAGAACCCTGAAGCGCTTTCTCTGTATGGAGGCCCTGCCCGAGGCCCTAGCCTGGATTTACAAGCCCAGCACCCCGTGCTGCACTCTCGGCTGGTCTGCGTAAACCCCATGTCTCTCCTCTCCTGTGCTTGGTGATTTTTTGTTGTTGTTCCAGGACTCGAGCTCAGAACCTTGCGCTTGCCAGGCAGGCGCCTGTGCCACTGGGCTATATCCCCGGCCCTCTCTCCTGTGCTTGGGACCACCTGGTGCTTCTGTGATTGACAGGCGAGGACACATGGCATTTGCCACAGCGCTCGGCTAACACGGCTTCCCGGGAAGCTCCCCTGGAAGTCTTCCTGTTCATTTAATGACGGGGCAGTGTTCTGATGCCATCCCAAAACCCCGCCTCGAGGACAGGCAGAAAATACACGCATGAACAGATGTCTCATCCAACAGTGACTGGAAGGTGGGTGGGACAAGGTGGGCGCGGCAGAGTGGAGGAGGGGCCACAGGCTCCTTGCGGGGCACGGAACCGTGTGTGGAGCCTTCCTGAGGGGTAGGCACACCCGAGAGCACGGCTGCGCGCATTCCAAGCCTCGAAGAACAACGCCAGGGCCCCGAAGGGTCCCCAGCTGCAGGAGCCATGAGCAGGTCCTCCAGCCTGGGGCACAGACGTCCTGGGGGCCTGCAGCGGACTTTGAGGTGAGGCTGGCTCTCCCAGGACAATGGCGTCTCACAGCCACAGGGCCACGCGGCAGCACAAGGGGGACCAGCACCTGCATGTGACCCCCCCACCGTCCTTTCTGCCGCCCCTCACAGAACCGCCCGTCGTGACCCCAGCCCCATTTGCCTCTGGTGCTGCCCCTCAGGCTGTGGCTCGGCCCAGGGTGTCTGCGTCCACTGCAAGGCCCCATCCGGGCCTCCTGGTCATCAGGAAGTGACCTGCACGTCGTCCCCTCCTCTTTGCTTCCCGACTGGCCCAGGACCGAAGGCGGGCACCCTGACGTCACTCACTTTGGTCCCCCACCTGGCATACTGCTGGCATTTCACGATGACTGGATGATTGATTTAGAAAGTACAGCCACGGGCTGGCTAGCAACGTATCTGCCAACCACAGCGCGCACAGCTGGTGGTCCCTGAGATTCTACCCACGCGCCTCGGTCCACACGGGGCGGGCTCCCTCGGAATGTGTCCGTGACCGTACTGTAACCCAGCAGCCCTGCCCCGGCCACAGCAGGCGTGACAGTCTACACCAACAGACTGCGCTCTTCCTTCCCGAAGCCCGGGCTGGGCTAGCAGCAAGTTAAAGGAAGAAACAATTCGATGGATAAAAGGCGAGTCCAGCGAATCACCAGAGCGGGCGCTGCTTTCAGTGCTGCGGTTTGGGTCTCGAGGGCCCGTGGACCCCCAACCCTCTATGCCCCCAGAGTCCTGGCCCAGGGGATGTGGGAGCCAAGACATAGTAAAAGCGGAGGCTCCCGCGGACCAGCACCGTGAGCTCTGGGCCAAACCCGTGCACACGGACACGGAGCCTGCCAGGGCCACAGGGGCGACGCCCGCACGGGAGAATGGAAACCAGGTGCTCCCCGGGACAAGCGGGCGCAGGGGCAGCGGCGGGGCAGGGAAGGCGTGCGGGTGCCAAGGCGATGCTTACCCACCGTTAACCCCAACAAACTGAAGGTTCTTTTTGGTCCCATTGCCTCCTGCGCGGAAGCCACAGTCTTTCTTTTTCATTATGGATTTAAGGCTGGTCGACGGGGAGAGCTCTAGGCAGACAACATCACAGGTTAGCACCACCGGGCAGGAAAACCGACGCTTGCTTTGAGGGGACACAGGCTGCGGGCATGTGAAGGGGGACGGCCCAGACCGCGGACACCATGACCAGCTTTCTGGTCGACGTCGGCAGAACCGTGCTTGTTAGTGGCGCCACTTTCTGTCGGGGGGGACACGTGGCTCTGGGCGCCCCTCTGAGGCCATGTGACGTGGGTGCTGTTGTGGTTTGTGTCTAGATGCCCCCCAGAGCCTCATGCAGTCATAGTGGGGCTTTCTGGGGGTGGCTGTATCTAGAGTGTGTGACACTGGGACTGGTTCACAGTTTGATGCTAGATTAAGGGTGTGATAAACATAAAATAGAAGGGCAGGAAGGGCTGCTGCTTGTCACTTGTAGCTTGCTGCTTGCTTCCCTCTGCCCTGCTGTGGACTGCTCCTCCTTTGAGACGCCCTTCTGCCCTGTCACAGACTTTATCCTCTGTGATGTCCCTCTGCCATGTGCCGCTCTGCCTTGGAGCCAGCCAACTATGGACTGAAACCTCTGCAAACTGTGAGCTAAGTAAACCTTTCCTCCCTCAGTTTGTGGGTGTTGGGTATTTTGTCTCAGCAACGAGAAAAGTAAGACAGGTGTCGTGGTTATCTCTGTCCTACAGCTGAGAAATCTGAGGCCTGGACTAGCTCAGGGCACGAGCAGGACCTGAGCCTTGAAGGGTTCAGGGTCCAGCATGTTTTGCTGCCCGAGGCAATACCCATGAGGTGGGGATAGTGAGACACCGGGCCCTCAGTGGCACGGTCACAGGGCACGGATCTTCCGTGCTGTGAGAGGTCCAGCTCCACAAGGAGCTCAGCCTACTTGGACTGGGGGCAGGGAGCAGACTCCAGGTGGCCTGACTGGTGGCCTGTCAGGAGCAGAGGGCTCTCTGTCTCTCTCTCTCTCTCTCTCTCTCTGCCTGTATCTGAAACGACTCCAGATCTCAAGGTAATGATACTCCAAGCCAGGCCACAGAAAGCCTTGGATGTGTGAAAGCCAGAGGAAAGCAGGAAGCCAGGGCCAGGGAAGAAGGAAGGGGGAGGGGTGCGTGGGCCCTTCCTCTCCTAGTCCTTGTCCTGTAGGGTACTGCATTTGCACCATGCAAGTGGGGCCCACCCCTGCACCTGTCAGGTGCCCAGAATGCTCGTGAAGGAAGCGTGGCTGGGCTTCATCCCGCCTCATCCTCCTGGCACGCGCTACCTGTGCAGCTGTGCCCTGCAGCCAGACCCAACCTCTAAGCCAGGAAGGAGTGGAGGCACCAGGCTCCAGGGTCATGCCGATTGGGCTCCCCACAGCCCGCAAGGCAGGAAGCCCTCATGCACGTGCACTCACGCAGGGACCCCCTCCCGAGGTCTCCCAGGGGCTCACCGGAGGCCGGCGGGGCCGGGGCTGATGGAGAGGGAGCCGGGTGCCCCGCTGCCTCCTGCGGGGGGCCCTGGGCCGCGCAGGCCGACAGCAGCAGGCTGAGCGAGCTGAGCAGCTGGCCTCGGATGTTACTGAGCCGGGACGCCGGCTGCCGCAGGGCGCTGGCCAGCTCGGGGTAGCCGTGCTCCAGGCAGCTCCACTGCTCCTGCAGCAGCTCCTGGATCTTCCTCACATACTGCCCCAGGGCGGCATCCGGCGGGGACCCGGGCAGCGCCCCCTGGTGCTGGGAGCCAGCCTCCTCCCTGGCTGCAGGCGCAGTCTCCCCGTCGCTGTCTGTGGTGCCCTCCGCTGCTAGGCCTTCCTCCTGCGCCGGCCCTGGCTCCTCGATCCTGAGCTCCACGGAGAGGCAGCCGCGCACGGGGGAGGCAGGGGCAGTCCCGGGTCCCTGAGGCAGGGGCAGCTGGGCTGGGCGCTGGTCCGTGGGTGGGGCACTGTCTGTCACCCAGAGAGGGCCGCCCTCCTCCCCCAGGGCTCTCCAACTTCCAGAGTCCATGGGGCTCAGAAGGGCGACCTCGACGCCCTTGTCACAGGTGTCCACACGGTGCAGGCCACACAGATGCTCGGTGCTCACTGCAGAGTCCACGCGGCCCTGGGAGCCCTGGGCATCCGCGCCGAGTTTCTCCTCCAGCTGGGCCACTGCGCCCTCCAGCTCGCGAATCCGCTGCTCCTTGGCCTCCAGGGCCGCCTGGACCCTGACCAGCTGCTCAGCGCGGCTGGCCAGCTCGTCCTGCAGGGCCCGGAGCTGCTGGCCCAGGCCGTCGCCCAGGCCCAGGGCCTCCTCGGTGACCCGCACACCCACACTCCGCACAGCCATCTCCAGGGGTGGTGGTGGAGGCGGGAGCTCGCTGATGCTCAGCTCTATCTCCGCCAGAGCCAGCTCGCTCTCGGGCACTGGAGACGGCAGAGGCGGGGGGCTCGGGGTGGAGGAGCCCGGCGTGGACACTGCCAGTGCCTGGCCTTCACCCCTCCCGTCCTCCGGGACCACATGTGCGTTCTGGAAGGAGAGAGACGGACGGTCTGGAGCCTGTTCCTCTCCAGCTGGCGGCTCGGCCTCCTTGGGGGCCCCCAGCACCCAGTCCCCAGGCTCCTTGACGGTCTCGCCAGCCGATGCTCCTGGCCTGGGGCTGGGGAGATCTGCAGATCCCTCTGCCGGCCTGAAGGCGTTGTCCCAGGCACTGCCTGTGTCCTGGAGTGGAGGAGGCGCTGGGGGTGCAGGGGACGCCTCTGAGCCCCTGGCAGGTGGCAGTGTGGCTGGCATGCTGGATGCCCGCAGGAGCTGCGGCCGGGCACTGGCACAGCCAGGCATCGTGTCGTCCCCCTGCCCAGCGGCCTCAGCCAGCTGGGCCTTCCTGGGGTGGCTCAGCTCACTGCCCCTGGCCCAGGCCTGGGCGGCGCTGCCCTGTGGTGCTGGAGGCTGGCTCTGGTCCTGTGGCCCCAGGGACTCCTTCCTGGGCACTGCGGGGGACCAGCGCTGCGGGAGCGGGGCGGCTGGGGCTTGCTCGCCGCTGCTGGGGAGGCTGAAGTTTCGAGGCAGAGTGCTGAACTTGGTCTGCTTGGCCCTCCTGTGGATCGGAACCCTCCTGATGGTGTGGCCCTTCTCAATGTCGTCCACGTACTTGAGGAAGTCAAGGTCCAGGCGGAAGCCGTACGGCGTCTCCACTGAGTACTGGTGGCTCCTGGGGGGGCCCTTCTCCTCGTCCCCCTGTGAGGCCGGGTCCTGGGCTGGGAGACAGAACACATGGTGAAGAAACTCGAACTCAGAGGTTAGATACCGCACGGCCTCTCCCGCGTGAGAAGCCCACCCGTGACTAGTTCACAGCGTGGAGTCCAGGAGAGACGGCGGAGGCGGGTGGAGCTCGGAGCAGGGAGGGGTGTGGAGGCCGAGCGAGGGGAGGGAAGGTGCAGGCGGAACCACACGCCCCCCACGTGCTACTGAAGCGTTTCCCAGAGGGAGAGCAGAGAGCAAAGGGGAGCTAGGGCCGAGGAGGCCGAGCAGCGGGAGTCCGCCTCCGCAGCACGGGAGACCCGCAAGTGCTCTGGGCGCCAGTTCTGCAGAGGCCTCGGCCTGGGCCTCTCCAGCTGTGCCGGGGCATCAGCCCAGTCGGTGCACATTCACCCAGGACAGCGAGGAATCTGCTGTCCTCTCAGAGCTGCTGGGGACCTGCCGCACGGCACCCAAACAAATGTGTCCTGCGCGGTTTTGCCGGGTTTGAATCCTGTAGTTGCAGGGCGGCCACGGCCCGGGATTGGCTGAGTCAGGTACTAATCAGCAATACGGCTCTGGATGGCCTTGAAGGATGAGGTGCTCGATCTCCTCAGCACTGCTCACGGGGCCACCGGTGGATCCTGCTGAAGCCGCAGGACTTGTGCTCTCGGCCTCCTTCATTATTTAAGCTCCGTCTGAGCCGGAGCAGAGAGCAGGAGCAGACGCCACGCAGAGCCGAGCAGAATTCTCCACCCCTGAAACCGTTCAGGGCTTAACCATCAAATTCACCTCCAAAAGCCCAGCAAGGAGAACAGGTGCACAGGAGATGGGCCGGTGGGCGTCAAGGGGACGCGGCAGGCATCCTCAGAGGCGCATGGACCCCAGCACCTCAGGGCAGCCTGACCACAGGGTGTAGGGATGGCTCCTCCCGCCTGGCCCTTTTCCAGGGGGTGGAGTGGCCAGCGGGATCTCAAGAGAAGCGACCCACGGAGGACCAGAGGGGGAACCAGAGCCAGCGGGCCCCTCACAGGGCCAAGGGGAGAGAAGCGGCCAGGGTGGAAGGACAGGAACCGGTTAAAGAAGGCAGGGACGGCTGCGCTCCACACTGGCTTTTCCAGGCTGGGACAGAGCTGTCCACCTTGCTGCTGACGATGCCACCTGTGTGCCCCGGCCCCTGTGCCCAGGGACATGTGAGTCTCTCCAGAGAGGACACAGAGCCAGCCGGACACACGAGCGCTGAGTAATCACGTCAGCGGCACAGCGGGACCAAACAGGACCCCACGAGTACACTTGGGCTCTGGGCTTCGAGCCTCTGGGGCAGACACCTGGCCTCTGGCGTGAGGAGGAGGGCGTGCTGCCTGCCACCCTGAGTCAGCGAGACCCGTACCACGGCCTCCTGCCCCTCCCAGGAAGCGCAGCACCTCGTCCACGGCGGCTGGGGGACGACGGATGCTCCCTGCCCCGGGTCCCGGGCTGCCCTCTCCACACCCTCAGCCACGGGGCCCCAGGAGCTGCCCACATCACCAGACAAAGTCGGACAGGGAACAGGTTTACAGGAGGGACAGAGGGACGGATGGGTAGCAGTCACCCGCCTGAGGCGCGTCCTCAGAAACACTAAAGTGAGACGGGGAAGTTCAGCGTCTAAAGTCTCCGAAGGAAATAGAGGCAGACGGGAGAAAGGGCCAGAGAGCCAGGAAGAATGGGGCAGGGGCAGGGACAGTGTCTGGCCCGGGTGCAGCAGCTCTCCGGGGAGACGGGCAGGGCTGGGCTGACTGCTGCGCCCCGTGGCGTGCACTGGACAGGCCACGGACGCGACAGCGGACTTGCAGGTTCCTGACATTTCCCTGGGAGTCAGGAGGTCCGGGCTGCTCCGTGACCTTCAGCAAGTGTCCCTGGAAGGACCTGGGAGCCCCGTAGGGAGTTCGCACTCAAGGACTTCCCATCCCAGGAATCGGGCTGATGCCGAGGACAAGGGGTGCTGGACACAGGTTGCTCAGTGGCCGTGGGGTCCCCTCTCCGCACACCCCTCTGCTCCAGCCGAGTGTTCCCTTCCGCCCCTGGGGTGAGTGTGCCCCAGCTGGCCCCTGTGTGTCGGACGCATGGCCCAGGGGACCCCAGGGGACATTCCAACCACGCAGCCCCACCCAGAAGAGCGCGAGACAGCCAAGACCCAGGTGTGACTTTAGTCACAGCTGTCCCGGGGCCGCTGCAGGGCAGCAGCAGGGCTCCGCAGCAGGGCTGACGCCCAGAGCCTCAGCGACAAGAGTGACCCCGGTGAGGTGAGCCAGGCCCGGGCACCACGACGCCTGTCCCCAGGACCCACTCTGCGCTGCAGCCCCAGGGCCTCGTCTCCACCCCATCTGCCCAGGTCCATCCGGGACCCCTGGTCTGCGCCCACTGCCGTGTGGGGACCACAGTGCGGCTGCTCCTGTCCCTCCAGCCCAGGTGCCCTCCCACCGGGCAGGAAGCTGCTGCCTACCCTTGGTCTTCTCCATCCTGGGGGGCAGCCTTCCCTCTTGTGGGAGCTCTTCAACACCGCACCTGCCGGAATCCTGGAGAATCTGAGAAGGAGGAGAGGAAAGAAACATTAGAGGTCCCGTTAGACTTTTTTGGTTTTGGGGTGTTTGATTTTTGAGACAGCGTCTCACTGTATGATTCAGGCTGTCCCCTCTTTCCAGGGTATCCTCCTGCCTCAGCCCCCTGAGTGCTGTGATCACAGGCCTGCACCACCACACCTGGCCCGTTAGAGTTAAAATAGCTCAAGAGGAGGCAACAGCACCCAGAAAAGTCAGCCCAGCCCTGCTCCCAGCCTGCAAGGAGCGCGCGGAAGCCCGCACTGTCCTGCACGCTGACCCTGCGTGACTTCAAGGAACACTGGCAACAGCTGACGCTGAAGAGGCAGAGGCGAGGCCGAGCGGAGGAGCGGCTCTGCCCGGGTCTCTGCACCTCCGTGATGGAGCACAGCGCTCCTGCGGGACAGCGGAGTGGACTCCTACCCCGGCCGGGGGCAGGGTCATAATCCAGCTGCAAAGAAGCTGGAACTGAGTGGCCACAGGCGACCTGTGACGTCCACAGCAGACCCAGGGAGAAGCAGAGACCCCAAGTGCGGGCAGGGAGCTGGCCACCTTCCCGCCGTGGCTGGAGTGGGTAGGGGGTCACCAGGTGGCCCCGACGGCCCCGGACAGCTTCCTGCCCCACAGTCCTATCGTGAGTCGGACCCTGTCCCTGTGGTGAGTAGCCCGGCTCTGGCCATGGTGTAAGTCCCAGGGACTGGCGCTGTGTTGAGGTGGGGGTGGGGCCCCTGGGCACGAAGGGACAGGAGAGGATTGTCACAGCCTGGCTCCTCTGCCACCCACGCCCCCTCTGCACAGCCCCTCCCTTCCCGTGGACTCCTGGACGTCACTCAGGTCTCCGCAGAGTGGGCTTATGGGAGGGAGGAGAGGTGATTGCCGCGGACACGCGTGACTCTGACACGACCGACCTCGCCTGGCACTGCTGCCCGGGCGCCCTGGAGGTGGTCTGCAGCCCCCGGGCTGCTCAAAGCTGTGACACAGGCAAGGTGCCCAGACTCCACGGTGCGGGGTCAACGCCCAGCATCCGGAACACCGCTGCCACGCTCGGCTCTCACTGCCTGGCCCATCCTGGGGCGAGGACCTGCCGGCCTGGCCTCCTCACAGCTCAGGACACTCCAGGGCTTGGAGCAGGCGCAGCCCCTGCTCTCCTCTGCTCCTTCTGCAGGCGAGCCTGCAAGCTCATGAAGGTCAGAATTCTTGCAAGTTCACCCCCGTCCAACTCCCTGCACTACCCGTGCAGCAGACGCTGTCCGTGGAGTAAAGCAGTCCGGCTTCGGAAGGGTCTCACGTGAACAGGTGCTAAGGCTGGCTCCCAGCCAGGCGCAACGTGAGTCCTCCATCCTCACACAGCCATCTCGCAAACCAGGTCCAAGTTCAACCGAGGAAATGAAGCCCCTGCGAGGCTCCACGGCCCAGCAGCTGCCTGGTGGGTGGGGCCGGAGGGCTGTGTCACCCGGGGCGGCTCAGGGCCGGTCAGATCCCACGGGGTCAGCGGAGGAGGGACTGAGCCGCCTGCTCAAACCCACCTGCTCAGCCACGCCAGGCAGCAGTGAGGGCCAGGTGGGACCACCCGGCCATGGCCGGCCAGGTCCAGGAGGGCCACACGCTGTGCCCAGGCCGTGGCCCCGGGTCAGCCCATCCCCAGCATCTGCCCCTGCCCTCCCACTCATCCCCTTTATTTCGCCATTTTCGACCTCATTTCCAACCTCAGGTCCAAACATAGAGACCTCCTGTCCAAATATAGAGACCTCCCTTCCTCCTTCCTGAAACCGGAACCTGGCTCTGTGTTTCCTTCCCTCCAAGCCTCTCTATTCTGCAATAATAAAAGAGATCTATTCCATCCCAGAGCAGGCTGCAGCCAAAATAAACAGCACCTTGGATTTCCTTGAGGAGAGAGCTGGCTCCGGGCACAGCCTCATTACCAAGAGAATTCCTGGAGAATTCACCCTCACAAAGTCACCGCCCGCCGCCCGCTGTCCCTGCAGGGCTGCTGGTTTGCAAAGACGAAGCACTCTCCCCACAGACAGAGGAACCCGGACCGCACCTGGACGGACGCTGCGGAGAGGAGCGGAGCTGCCCGTGCCCAGCCGGCCCGGCCGCCTCCTGCGTGAAGATGCGGGAGGCGCCGGCGGCCGCTTTGCTCAGGGGGCTGAGCCCGGCGCCTCCTGACAAGGTCCCGCAGGCTCTGCAGCACTCACTTCCCGCGACCCCCGGGCGCAGGGGAAACTCAGCTCACCGCGGCGGCCCCACACCGCTGCTAACTCGGCTCACTTTCCTCGAGGGCGAGGGTCGTCCTCCCGCCTGCAGTGCCGCAGCCGCATCTGGAACGCCCCGGGAGCAGGGAGGGAGGCTGCGCGGGCTTGGGGTGCCCCTCCCCGCACATCGGGAGGGAAGGGCGGCCCGCCCACAGAGCCGGCCCTGGGCTGAGCCCCAGCTCAACGTCTGCTGCCCAGCTGCGAGAGGACTCGGTCAGGTGATCTGTGACCTTGCTGGAAAAGCAGACGCTGGCTTCCCTCTTGCTCGGAGGCCAGGTGGGCAGGGTCAGACAGGAATCGCTGCTCGATCGCTAGCTGCATCCTGCGGAGAGGGCAGCTGCTCAGGTCACATCACATCCCGCTGCAAAGTTACTTCCCAGAGCCGCCCGCGGACACAGCTACAGACACCCAAAACCGCGGGTCCCTGCGGCTGCCTCCGGACCCTCAGACGCGCTCCCTGCCCCGCAGCCGTGTGCTCCTCATCCGAGAGTCCTGGAAGCCTTGGGGTGCAGCTCTCTCCCTGCTCTGCTAGACGCACCCTCCTCGCACCCCCAGGGTGCCCAGACTGCCAGAACCTCTGACTGAGTGACACAAGCACAAGGCAGGCACGGGCAGAGCCAGGACCCCAGGGCTCCAAGGCCAGGCGGCGGCTCTGCTTACTGCTCTCTGCCAGTCGGCTGCCCTTGAACGCACAACACACGCAACTCTGGCAGGAAGAGAAAAGTGCGGTGACAGCTTTACCGTGGCCCAGGGCTCCAGCTCAGGCAGGCACTGAAGCCAGGACCAAGAAGCTGGAGGGGTGGAGGAGGACCAAGGTCTCCTGGGTCCCAGAAGCTGGGGCCCAGCCTGACACTGCTGCGGCCTGGGAGCAAATGCAGGTGGGGGGGGGGCACAAGGCTGCACACCTGCACCTCCCCTGGTCCTCCAGGTGGTGGTCTACACTGGCCCCCAGCAAGCTCGGCAGCAGGACTGGAAGGTTCTTGTCCCCACCCCTCAGGATGCAGCCAAGCCGGCCGTGCTGGGACACGAAGCCCCATCAGTTCTAAAGACAGGCAGCACCGACCTCTACAGAAGCTGACAGCTGGGTGTGTTTTCCAAGGCCAGGGCGGCCAAGAGCACCCCCATGTGTGCCTGCCTCGAGCCGGGTACCTTAGAAGCACTCCCACCCATCCCGTGCCCCCCCCTCTCCTGAGGGCGGCCAGACCAAAGGCCAAGTATTCTCCCACTGAGGGCTCAGCAGCTTCCTTCCCTCAGGTGCCTGGGAGAGGAGATGCCTGGGGTGCACTCCGCCTTCTCCCGTGATTCTCCTTGGAAGTTTCTAGAGCATCTCCCTTCACCTAGTGATGAGGAGACTTTCTGAAGGGAAGGATGGCATGATAGCCGAGAAGGCTACAGAACCAACACTTGCTTTTCTCCGCTGCTAAATGTATTTGTGGTAACTAAGTAGATTAGATAGACCAAATCATCCGAGCAAGAAAGAGTCAGAAAAGTACCTCGAGTGCTAAGGCTGTGTGACAACACCTGGAGCAGCGAAGTGCCCTGCTACTCTAAGATGGTTCAGGACCCTTCCCACCTGGCTGGGAGCACAGATCGTTTCTCCAGGAAGCAGAGTGAAGAAAGGTGCCCATCCTCGATACACAAAGGGTGCTGATTTTAATGGAGCTCAGCTTATCTAGGTTTCCCTTGGTTGCCTGTGCTTTAGCATTGTGCTTTAGCCATGAAATTGTTGCCAAATCCGACATCATGAAGATTCGCCACTATGCTTTCTTCTATGAGTTTTATAGTTTTAGCACTTCAAAGACCTAAAGACCTCCCCTTCCGCCCCACCCAAGAGTACCACCCTGGGAACACAGACCTTTGGGGGACGCTGAAGGCCTCCCTTGCCCTACCCGTTCCTTTGTCATTGTACATCCACCTAGTGCCTCTTGCTGGGCCAGGAGCTCTGGGCAAGGCAGAGCCACGCCTCCCTCCTTCCCCAAGCCCCTCCCAGAGCCCGGGCCTGTCCGTAGGGCTGGTGCGCCTCTCTCCTGGGCCTCCGCTCCTCCAGTCTGTGATTCTCCAAGCAGAGTCCCTGCCCCACAGGAAGGGAGGCCACATTCCCACAGGACCCACCAGTGGACCCTAAATATGTGCTTTCTCCAGCTCTAGGCAAGTGACAACACGACACAGAGCATCATTTTTATCAGAACAGGTGAGGTTCATCCAGGATGGGGTCAATGAGTATCAGTCCTCTGTTCTGTTCTGTTCTGTAAAGAAGGTGACCTTCACGGTCCCTAACAGCACCCAGAGCCTCTGCGCTGCCAGGGGCAGCTGTGCACTCCCACAGCCCCGGGAAAGGTGCTGCGCTGTTAGCACCAAAGCTGCTCGTGAACCCCCTTCCTGCATCTGGGCCGCTGCCCTCCCGAGCGCCCCCTCCCCACAGCTGGCATGAGAACACACGGTGCCCAGCCCCCTCCAGCTGAGGGTTGGTGGTGGACCCTGCGCTCAGCAGGCAGAGACACCAAATCAGAGGACAACGAGGCCACGTGAGGGACCGGGAGGTGGTGAGTGGCCTGGCCACGTGGGGCCCCTTTGTAAGTGCCCCTCGTGCATGCTGGCCAGGAGGCGCTCCCTCTGCCGCTGGCTCCGTGGACCCTGGGCTGCCGCGGTGCGGTGCTGGCCTTGCGGTTCCAAAGACGCTGGGCGGTGGGATTTCTGCAGACGGCGTCCTGTTTGCTGTGCTGTTGCTTTGGTTACTTCTCTCTTCCCCTCAGATCCTTTATTACCGCGTCATTTCCCGCTGGAGCGTGGGAATGAGCAGACCGCAGGGTCTCGGCTCTGCCAGAGTGGGTCCCAGTGAAGATGCCGGGGAACACACCTGGAGCACACGCACCCAGACCCGGCTGCCCCTCTCCCTGGGTCCCGCGGTGACAGCACTCCAGGGGGGGGACAGCCACCTCTGCGAAGGACAGCACTGCTGTTCCGGGTCAGGATCCAGTGAAGCCGCTCAGGCCGCAGCCCGAGGCCCAGGCGAGCCGCAGGTGCTTTGGGGGCTGCGGCCTCTGCCTTCTGGTTGGGAGGGGGCCGCTCCTGGCTCCGGTCCACAGTCCGCATGCTCTGGAAAGTCGCATGTGCTGAACCGAGGCTGGCAGTGGCCTGGGGGCCTGGGCCGGAAGGCCAGTGCTAGCATTCCACACGCCCACCCTCCCGCCCTGTGCAAGTTCCGTCTGTCAGAGCGGAGGGGTGGCGTGGACAGACCCGATCCCTGTTGCTCCAGCGAGGGGGTCACGGAGAGTGTAAGCGACAGCATCGCCCCCTCTGGCTCTGCCTGCTCCTGGCACAAGCGACAGGGCACACAGCCCCTTAGCAGACGCCCGCATCGAACTGTTGGGCTTTCCGGGCTTCAGAGCCGGGAGCCCAGGACGTCTCTGATTGTCCTAAATCATCTAGCCTCATGTAGTCCTCTACAAGAACCCTGAACACGAGCCGGGACCGTGGGCTGAGTCACGAAGACAGGCGTGGTCACCTCTGCAGCCAGGCTTCACCCACAGGCTGCACCTGCAGCGGGCTGGGCACCGGCTCCACACAGACCACGGCCGCCATGCAGCCGGCGCCCCTTCACACTCCGCGCACGGGCTCAGGGCCTTGCGAGGGGGCAGTGCCCGGTCAGCCCCGCAGGTCCTGCTGTTGGGGGCGAACTCCGCACCGGACCTGGCGGCGTCGTCCTTGCTGATGGACCCTGAGGCTCCACAGCATGGCCCGGGTCCGACTCTGCCTCCTGGACTCCGATCCCCTGCTTGTCCTTCGAATCTTCCTGCTGAGCACCCTTGCCTGCGTGTGACCCTGGAGGAGACCGTATGGTAGTTTCTCTGAAACCGTGTGGGGAAGCTGCTCACATCCTTCCGGCTACCTCTGCGTGCAGCCTTGGGCTCCAGGGCAGCACGGGGCACCACAGCGCGACATCAGGGAGGCCTCCCTGCACCCCACCTCTGGGCACCAGGGACCGGCTCTCCTGGCTCTTCTGCCAACGAGGTGGAGGTGGCCGCTTCCAGCCCGGGCTGAGTTTAGTGCTGTTCAAAGAAACAGCAGTCGAGTTGAAAAAAAGGGACTGGAAGCCGTCCAAGCCCTCGCTGCAGTCTCCAGAGAAAACACCTCAGGGAAGCGCATGCTCAGCACAAGGCGAGTCGCGGAACTGTGCCTTCCTCTCTGCACTCAGCCCTGTCTCCAGCAGGGCCACAGCTCTGTCCCGGCCCTGCAGACTGCTCCTGCTCCCGCCCACCTCCCCCCGCCCGCCCCCTGTCGCGCCCGTCCCAGGCGGGGGCCCAGGCGGTTCCGTGCCGGCTCCTTGTTGCCGGGGATTTCAGTCTGCACAAGGATGGGCAGCAGCAACCAAGCCCTGGCCGGACGCTTCAGAGACAGGAGTGACCGACGAGGCCCCAGGAGCAGAGCTTGGAAAACTCGAGGCCTGAGGCTTTTATTCCTTGCCACACCATTTCAAATCTGAAAACTGAGGTTTAAAAATAATCCTAGCAAATGCCCACACAGGAAGAACAGTGACCACCGCACTGGGTCCCGTCCTGTACCGCACAAAGCGTGACTCGCTCGGGTTCGCAGTGATCGCACCCGCTTAGGTGCCCTGTGTCCTTTGCACAGGTCACAGGGTCAGGGTCGCCGATCCCGGGGGTGGCCGCGTCCGAGCTCAGTGGTCTGAGGGCGAAGGCCAAGCTCAGGACCCCGGGGCCCTGCCTGGGTGCTCTGTGGCTGTGATGCCATTGCCCCAGAGAGAAGGAAGCAAGGACCAGGGTTCAGCAAAGCACTGAATCTTGCTTTGAACTCCATCGCCGGCTATCAGATGACTGTGAAAATAAAACATTTTCAGGGAATGCATTGGCCTGTAAATAAGATGGGTTTATTTGTGAGGAGACATACTGAAAAATGCTGTGACTTTCTAATGAACTTAAAATTATTTAATCGATAAAACACAACTACTTTTCAAATAATTCCTGAGAGTCCCGAGAAACTTAACCAGAGCCCAGTAGTAGGCTACAGGATATCAGTTTTACATAAAGTGCTCTCTGCAGATCTAGCGCTGTCAAAATGTCCATTCCCAAGACCTAGGTTCCGGTCAGATGCAAAGGTTTTAGGTTACAAATTAATGTTGCTTCTTGGTCGCTCCGGGGCACGGCA